TCTTTCTACAGCTTGAGGTTTTACAAGCTCTCGGGGCTTTAATCGAGCGACTTGGAAACCCTAAACCCGGGGCTCAGAAAGGATGGCGGATGCACTTAATTAAGGCATATACCTTAAATTATAATAGGTTCCCTAATATGATTTAAGGTATATTCCTTAATTAAGGGATTTTGGAAGGTCTGGGCAAGGACCTGAGTTAGAGGAACCTTTGAAGGACTCCTTGGAGGTGATCTAGGGTTCAGGCCGGGCCTCTGATTCCGAAGGAAAGGTGGGAGCTTCCGAAAACCGATCCTTTAAGGGTTCCTTTAAGGGTTTCTATAAGGGTTCCTTTAAGGGTTTCTGTAAGGGATCTATAGGGGGAGTTTCCGAAAATTAGGGGTCCCGTATTTTGGGGTCCTTATCATAAGGATCCTACTGTTTAGGGTACTATATTAGGGTCCCCTACGTTCGGAAACTCCCTAAACTCTTATTGAGCCCTTTAAAGGAACCCTTATAGTACCCTTATAATAACCCTTGAAAAGGAACCCTATTAGAACCCCCAATTTTCGGAAGCTCCCAGATCTTCCTATCACTGCCGGCCCGGGGTCTGCGAAGTCTGCAGTAGAAGCCAGAAAGTTGGAAACCCAGAAGCCTCAATCCTCAAGAGTCGCGGTTAAGGGTTTACCCAAAGGGTCCAATGTGCCTATATAGTAGAATGTAGGGTTTCTATTTAAGGAATTACTATTGTGAGTCACGTTTTTTGAGCTCTTTTTTGATGCCTGCAATCCAGGTTTTGCTACATCAAGGCCCCATGCCCCAGGAGAAAGAGTCACAGTTTAGGGTTTAGACTCAAGAGTGATGCATTGGGAATCCCAGCGCTATTTGGCCTTTATCCGGTTTCCAACTTTATGGGGTTTACTGTAGTAGTTTTCAAAGGCAATGAGCACGACTGACCGAACCTTCCAAAATCATTTACTTAAGGAACAGACCTTGAATCACATTCGTGATCCTAGTACAATTCATGGTGTAGGGCATAACTACGATGATGGAAGGCCTGGGCCATGTTTCGGCGGCACAATGAGCACGGCTGCTTGCACGGACAATCGCCCCGCCGTCGATCACTCTTCTTTGGTGCCAATCAAATGGTGCTAATTGTTAATGTAGGTCCTTGATCAACAAAGTCCGCGTCTTAACCCAACTAGACGAGAAGTGTTTGTAACCCTAAACCCTAAACCCTCGAGAAGTGTTTGTTGATCAAGGCGCGTTTGCGGTCAAGGCATCGGACCCGCACGACTAGCACCCCTAACCCTGAACTCGGCATCCCTCCAGGGCCCCTCAAGGGCCCTTTAATGGAGTCCTTTTGGTCCTTAGTAGTGGGCACTTGGGGTATATTAAAGGGTAGTTGGGGGTGTCTAGGCTGGGCTAAGCCCTAAACTAAACCCTAAACGGTGTGCCGTCACGGGCCGACGAGCATGCGCTCCTGCCGTCGCCGGCGCCAAAATGGTGGTGCCTCACCGTACTTGGGCAGCTTCGGCAGAATCATCGGGCACCGCTCTCGTACGAATCGGGCGAAAGTGGAATTGATCATCGGGCCAGGGAAGTTCTCAATACAGACAACTGAACCAGCGGCTTGAAGGAGGTGTTGCTGCCGAAAATGCACCAGGCGGATCCTTAGCTCAATTTAAATGCACCCAAAACTTGCGCGTTCATTCGTTCAAGCGCTTGCAGTGGGGCCAGGGTTTGAGAGTTGGGTCGACGCTTTGGGATTTGGGCCAGGGGTTGTCCTTCCGCAAAGAAGCTCTAAACCCTAACTTCGAAATCCCTAGACCCCTAAACTTTAATTGCCCAGTCTACCAAGTCTCTCATCCCGGGGAGGCTGCCTGACGGTCGTGTCGTTCTGAACAGGTACGATCAGGACATGTACCTGGTAACCATCAACACGCTCCGTGTCCATCAGCAACTTGTTCCTGTTACCTTGACGAGTCATGCATATCTCATCACAGGGGTAAATGCCGAAGTCGTAGCCACCTCGCGACCCTTTTGCACCCGGTAAGATCCATCGGCTCTCCGGAATGGATATCGCTCTGTAGTCGTGGCTCCCGATAGTCTGATCCATGTAGGCGTTTATGTTGGGATATGTTGGACTCCTTACAGACACCATGGCTCCAAAACAATACCCCCTGTACATAAGTGCCTGTATGCTCTATACCCAGACCTGCGGGAGGATCCACACCCAGTTCAGGGATCTGCTTGTTGGATCCTGCAATGGGTCTGGGTGCCCTAAAACCGACCATCGGTAATCAAACCAAAAGTACACCTTGTCGCTCTCTTTAGGGTGAATAACCTGCTTCAGTATACGATGCTATACCCCAGAGATTTACTCTCCAGTAAGATCTATGAGGCTCAAATCCACCCACTCGTCCACGTCGTTGTGGGCGACATACCTTGCCAAACCTTTCGCTCTCCACAAGCAGTGATTCTCCTTCCAAGCATCATGCTCGAACAGGGCCTTTAATTTAGGGGCCGTAATTGGTTACATTCGGATTTAGAGTTTTGGGGGTATCGGCTCCAGTGTTTAAGGTTTCACGTTACAAGGCTTGCAGGGATTTTGGGTTTAGTAGTCCCCACTCTGATCCACAACATATCATTTGATTGACGACTCGGGCCTAAAAATGGTTACTCACAGGCGTCATGGGTGCATGAAAATATCATTACCTAGGATAGCCAGTAACCTAAGAATAAAAAGGCCTCTCTTTTGGATATTAGGTAACTTTATAAGGAACCTAGGACTATAAAAAGGGAATAAGGGTACTACTGGGCATCCTAGTTACAGCCGACTCTGGGTTGTGATTGCTGTACTGTTGGCACGGCTCTTCATGTTCACAATCCGTTCTGACTACTTGCAGGTTCATGGGTAGTTATACATAAGTGGGGTTATGAGTCCCCTAATATGGGTCAAAGCTATAGTCATCTTACTTATAACCCCACTTATAACTCCCCATGAACCTCCAAGTTACCACCCTCATCAACTTGCGGGGATTCTCATCGATCTCGAACTATGTATCGGCCCCGACGTACTGAATAGTACAGAATAATAAAGGTCAGGGTTTAGGATTTGGGGCCCAAGAGCAGTAAATCCACACTGCAAATGCGTTCTAAAACATCTACATGCACTGATCCAAACCAAACGTACAGGTCTGTTGAGAACCATGCAAGCTACCGTTTTAAACCCTAAGCCTTAACCTTAATGCCGAACGGTACGCCAGCTGCCGAAGCTTGCGACAGTGCGGCCGGTAATCGTATGAGTTTAGCATTTCCTGCCCAAGCTTTCTAATAAAGGGTCAGGTGTTTAGGTTATTTTTCCGGTTGCCGTAGGGTCTAGGGCTTATACGGTTTGGGGTTGTTACAGGGTGTAGGGCTTGGGGTACGTAGATCAGTTGTCGACTCGAGTCTTGGACAGCAGGGCAAAAAAAATGCAAAACCCGACCCTCACCTGGAAGAGTCGTCAAAACCATAATTTCAACAATAACCTTAGGAATACAACAAGAAACTAATGTACAACCCTGATTAAGAAACCTTGTGCCCTGATTAGGGCTCCTACTATGAATCCTACTATTGGGGGCTATAGGCCCAGGGTTTCTTAATCAGGTTCTTACACCCTTAAGGACCAAATGTCCCTTAAAAGTAGGGGCCCTATACCCTGATACTATGAACCCCTATATGGTATGTGAACCTTAAAACCTTTTAGGGCTCATTTCGTCTTTATGGACCAGGTCACCAGGGACCGTGAAGCTCCTGGAAGAGCAGCAAGGGGCTCCATCCGTGGCCCGTGATACCTTGCTTGCTTAAAGGATCATGGGACTTAGTAACTATGGTTCTAATTAGGGTAACAGTACTTATAACTATTTATAACCCCAATTAAGATACTTATAACCTGACTTACTAAGTCCCATGATCCTGCAAGTGGAGGTTCATGGGTAGTTACAACTGGGCTTTATGAGTAAGGTAACTATGTCTCCCCTGCTGGCATTGGGTTTCCAAGCAAGAAGAAAGGTCAATGGGTTCAAGTACCCAATAATCATATACTCGCCAAAATCCTAACCTACATAACTACTATCCTAAAACCGAGTACCTGATTATTGGTTCCTTTGGACCCTTGGGGGAGAGGTCAATGGGTTCAGGGGTTTCAAGGAGTTTCAGGCTCTCCGCAGCTGCTCAATTTATCCGCAGGCCTGAAAGCCAGCCAAGACGTTCTTAAAGCCAGGAAAACTGCACAAGCGCATATTGCGAAGGCCCCAAAACTTCCTTGCATGGCTCCGCTGAGCCAGCTGTGAGCCCGCTGATTCACTTCCGTGGTGAATCACGGACGGTCCTGCGTTGTTCTTCGCTTTCCGATTGGGTTTGGGGAGAATGTTTTGCACTCCTGCCTGTTCCTCTCTGTCCTTCCTTCTGCACTGCATGAGCTGGCGCATCTTTCGGCATTTCGGACTACGGGGCGCCATTGGTTGCTCAATGTCGTGCCTTAACAGGTGCGTTTCCGAGTGCATACCACGTGTATGGATCGTGGGTTTCTGTGCTGGACTTCTTCATTTCACTTAGGTGCAAGTCGTGTGCAGTTCCAAGCATTGCGCTCAACTGAGCATTGCGGATCGCATCAGCACCAAAACGTGAACCAGATTGGGTTCGGCGGGTAAACTAATACTATAACCATCGTAGCTAAGGGTCCCCAACGAATTACTCAGATGTCTAGTATGCTCCCCTGGGCAAGACCAGCGACCTTCGAAGTATGATCTTACGAGGACCAGCTTGTTGGAGTCGATATAGGGTCGGAGCATTTCCTCCTTGGCTGTTTCAGCGGTTACGGGAAAAGGAGTTTAAGGTTGTGGGTCAACAACGCGTTTTAGGATATTAGGCTATAAGGCTTCGGGCGTGTAGGGTTCAGGGTTTGGCGCTCAGTTGAAAAGGACACTTAATTGGGCGATGTAATTAGAGCCGTGGTTCATGAAAAAAACATGTATGGCTCAGACCTCGTTTTCGTGCTCTTCCTCCGTAAGAGCTTTGGTCGGTAGAGCTGCCGAGCCCGTATTTCGAGCTGGCAGCAGAAACTCCTCCGGGCGGGTGGGAGGGCCCAGAAGCTACGGGTCAATCGCAATACATGCTTTCTCATGTATGGCTCAGACCTCGTTTTCGTGCTCTTCCTCCGTAAGAGCTTTGGTCGGTAGAGCTGCCGAGCCCGTATTTCGAGCTGGCAGCAGAAACTCCACCAACCTAGCCCGGCCTACAGCAACAAAGTAGCTCGCAGAGCAATGCACTAGTGCGCTGGGCTGAGGAGAAAAGGGAACACGGCCCTTGCAGCTGTAACTGCTTCACGTGCGTGCTTCGGCAGGGCAGGAAAAATCGAGACCGCCGAAACCTCCTGCAAATAGTATCCAAGAGTCGTTTGATGCTGCAAGCGCATCTTCCATTGAAGTTCGGAAACTGTAACTCCAGCCTGGTACAAGGCGACCGCACCACCTCCTCGAAGAGATCCCGGAGTCAGCTTAAAGGACCTGGCGACGCCAAGAGCTCCAAGCAGAGTATCCCAGCGCTTCCGAAAAACATATGGGCTGCCATAAAACAGAGGGGCGTTGCGAGGGAGATCACCGAACACTTCCGTAAAGAAAGCGACGAACTCCGGGCCCAGCACGACGGTGGCGTGTTGGACGCGCGGTCCACGGCCGCGGGATTTTGGGTCCCGGATTTTCAGAAAAATACGACCATCAGATCGAAGGAGGTCTGAGGGCAAAAGGAGATCAGACCTCCTAGCCCTAAGAACCTCCCCGACCCTGCAACACCCGTAGAAACCCAAAAGGGCTACAGCGGCCCATCTTCGCCAGAACCAAGCGAGCGCCAAGCTGCACATTGCTTCCAGCAGAGGCTCGGGAAGAGGAGGTCGGTGCTGAGTAGGCTCCAAGCGCTCCCAACGTGATAACATTTCCCAGGCAGTGCGAATTGTAGCACGGCACTTTGGGACTCGCCTTTGACTCACTGCGAGGAGCTGCCTGTAATGTTGTAGAGGCTTTCCCCCCGAATACAGCACTTGTCCATAAGCAGTGAGAAGTTCGACAAGGAGATCAGGATGGGCAGACAAAGTCTCAGAAGAGCCTTCGCCTGCACCATCCCAGACCCAAACCACGAAAGAATCCCAGACGCTCTTCTGCAGAGCAGCGGTGGCAGGCTCGACCAAGGGTACCTGAGCAAGGACACAGTCTGGCCGCGGGCGGCGAGGCCTAGGCCCCGGGTTCCGCGCTTCGCCGAACCTCGCACCACAGCATTTGGCGCACCGCACGATGTCAAGAGGACGATTCTCAGAGCAGCGGGCAGCGTCCTGCGTCATCGCGTTTGCAAGCAGTGCAGAGAGCCGCCTCGGAAACGGTTGAGCAAGCTTGCACCAACTGACACCTGAGACAGATTCCCTGCCCCGGAGCACACGATGGTTGTGATTCCCGCTGCAACGTAAAGTTTTACCCCGCAGCTGTCCGTTGGAGCGGATCCGAGTAGCTTTCCGCCACGGAGTCCCGAACACACACATATCAAAGCTGAAATCCCACGGTCCCGCATCGGAGCGCAAACCGCTCCAACAAGGTTGCTTCCAGATCCAGCTGTTGTGCGGATTCTCCAACATGTAAAGCAGTGAGTTGTCGATGCAGATACGGACGAGGTCAGCAAGAAACTCCAGCTGCGCGTTGTCCTGCAGAAGCTTGTCGCGCTTCCATCCTGACAGCTGGGGCGATCCTTCAGGATGCTCCCGCGATCTCACCGGAGGCACAACAGCCGTCGAGAAGCTGCCACAGTCAGGAGAAGCGAAGAAACCCAGAAAAGCCCCGGCCTCGAACAGGTAGACAATCTCTCTCTGCACAGAGAGATCCCGAAGGTTCTCGCTCGCAGAGTGAGCGATGTCGTAGCAGAGGATCCAACATGGCGCGGCACGAGCTAAGGCTTTAGCTACACCCCTGGACCCCGAAAACAAATCCAACCAACCCCGGCCCGTCCTGAGAGCGCTTCCCAAGTCCGGGAACGACGAGGAGTAGACAAAGCGGCCAGGAGGAAGGCTGAGGAGGAAATCGACGGTCTTGCAGTCCAAAGGGATTTGACTCATGGAAGGGCAGCCCTGGGGCACGGAGAAGTGCGAGGCTTTCTGAAACAGGGCGCCAGCAGAAGGAGGCTCAACCGAGGGGGAGCCAGCACGAAAGAGGGGGGGCTCAACCCGAAGGGAACCCAGAGGCTTCCGCGTTGAAGCCAGCACGCTAGGAGCAGCAACTGGTACGAAGTCATCGATGGCGTACTTTGCCCGAATGGACTCAAGGCATTTCCTGCTCTCACCAAGACAACCGTCGAGAGCTTGCTCAGCATGCAAAGGAAAAGACTCGTCGCGACGATTTGCGGGGGCTTCGGGCAGACTTTCGGAAGGTATCCCATCAGGCAAAGAAAAACCAAGCTTTTCAAGGGTGGCCTTCTGCTCGTCAGTGAGCCGCTCCGTGCCTCGCAAACAGAAAGCGACAAGAACAACTCTTCGGCCCCGCCAGGGCCGCGTGCAGTGCAGTTTATGGGGGTCGAACACGACCGCCTGCGAGTGTACAGGGAGAACTTCCCCACCGATCTGCCGGCCTTTGTGCTTTATCAGCATGGACCCGCCTTCGCACTCGACCCACAATCCCCCGCCGCGAAACCGCGACAGCGGCAGCACAAGGTTAGGCTCGCCAAGCATGTTCGAGGCGTCAACGTGCGGCATCGCGGGGGAGTTCTGCAAAACACTAAAAGTCGTAAATCTTATGCTAGGGTGGCACAGCTTGATGTAGCGGCAAAAAGCGGAGATCGAGTGCGGATGCTCGGAGCAAGTATTCCTGAGGCCTGCCACTCCACCATGAATGAACATGCCAGCTGAAAACGTGATGCCCCGGCGCTCCTTGAACACCGCTCTAGCGCTAACCTCGCGAGGAAGCCGGAGAAAAAGCTGTAGGAGGTCAGCAGCCCCAATCGCCTTGCGTTCGAGAAGAGCTTGAGCGTAAGCCTCTGAACCTTTGTTCCTGCGCATCAGTCTCCCCGGGTCCTCGGAAGGTAGGTCAAGTGGAGCATCCGGCAGCAGCTCACACACATCAGGTATGTCCCGCATTTGATCAAGGTGCATCCCCCGATCGCTGAGCCAGGCGTCGAGCTCAGCGAAGTCGCCGTCGCAGGCTGGCTTCCACCACGGGGGCTCTGGTCCAACCGGAGCTCTGATTGGGACGTCTCTAGTTGGGTCATCTGAGACATTCGCAGCAGAACAGATGAAGCCGTAAGAGGGGCGAACCCGCGAGGTCAAATGGGGGCCTAGAGACCTTTTGAGTTCCCAATTAAGGGCGCTGCTGCTGCTCCGCCCCTTCACAAGACACGCGGCAGCTACCTGTGAATCGATGAGCTGGAGGAACCTCCTGCCCGGCCAAATCCTGCCAGCACGGTCCTCAGCCCGAAGGGCAGCCCTCAACTCGCCAAGGTTTATGTGTCTCTGCTTACAAACCTTAACGACCGAACCCCAAAGCCTAAAGGGGAGAAAAGAACACATGTGCTCCCACAGAGGGTGGCTCTTGTATTCCTCTTCCGGAAGCTCACTGAGCTCGGGTTCGGGCTCGCCCTTTCCGCGCAAGTAAGCAGAGTAAGGAGAGAGCAAGCGGCTCCACAACCCCTTTTGCAGACCATGACGTGTCAACTCAAGCGACAGCCCCTCAGGAATGCTGGCCGCGACTGCTGCCTCTTTATGGTTCGAGGCGTCAGACAAGATTAACACAGGCGCTCCCGGCGCTCGAAGATCAGCATCAGCGAGGCACAGCAGCGCACTAGCCACAAGAAATTCCGAGCAGAGCGCACCGCGAACCCGGACGATGTCCCGCGGCTCGCGCCCGCGCTGCTCCTTGTAAACTGCATCGAGCACACTGAGCAGACGGCGTCTCACCTGAAAAGCAGATACAAGCCCTCCGGAGAACGTCTCAAGGAGGCCGACAGTACTGAAACCAAGTTCCACAGCCCCAAGCAAGAGATGAGCTAAAGGGATGGTTCGGTGCGGGTTCGGCCGCAACAGCCCTTTCTCCCCGTCAAGGTCGCCGCCCCAAAATTTAGCGCGAGTGACCTTGTACTCAGCTTTACCTTCATGGCGAGGGAGCTCAGCTTCAACATAGGCCTCACGAACAGCCTGAATGATCTGCTCCCCTCGGGAGGGCTCCGATGAAGAGGGCCGGTCCACAGGAGTCGGCTCCAGCAGAATGAAGTCATCGATCAAGAGGCCGGCGGAAAGCTCGGGGCTCCTGCGCGGCCTCCCCTTCAGCATGAGGAAATCGTTGATGGTCAACTTGCCAGTGCGAAGAAGCAGGGACAGATGACTGGCCTGGCCGAAATTCACAGCATGCGTGTCACCCATAGCCATCGTGGCCAGGCACGGCACAAGCTGCAACCCATGCATGGCACGGCTGCACACTGACATCGATGCGAGGCTTTCCCCTGGGAGGCAGAGGGCTAAGGCATTACGATGAAGTCGTTGGCCCCCGATCACAAAAGCATGATAGAACTCTCTGAGGTCCTCAGTGAAGATGTTCAGTATGTAGCCAGGAGGAAGATGAAGATGCTGGATCTGGTCAAGGCTCCCCAGCGTCCCCACCCACCGGTCACGGCCGCCTTCGACCAAGTTGGGCGGTCGAGCGTCCAGGACTAACCTGTCCCTCTGACCGTCTTTGATCACGGCGAAAACGCCGTTCCGTTGCTCCGACAGGAGCTCCTGGCGCGGGACCAAAGCGAGGCGCTTTGTGTCGTCCAACGCCTTCAGGAAAGCAACAGTCTTGCCCGGCTTTGTGCGAACTGCCACTCGGGGAGCAGTAATCCCTTCAGGCAAAGGCGAAACATAATCCAGGGGGCGAGCGTACAAAGCACGAGTCTCAGCATCCAGGAAAGGCATCGGGTCGAAAGTAGGAATCCCCACGAAGCGAAGCCGAGACGGGTCCACCGCTCGCGCGTAGCAGGGAACCTGAAAACTCAACTTGCCGCAGACCTTGCCGCGACCTGGAGGCGAAGAAGACAGCTGCATCCTGAGCGCACGGAGGAGGTCCTCAGTGCCTTCCACTTTAGAAGCCGACCTACCCATCTCTGCTGGGCCCACCTCAGGCTCGGCATTCCAAAGGGCTACGCTCTCAAAGAGAGCGTCGATGGCTGCATGCTGGGCGGGGCTAACTTCAGCACCCAACCACATACCCAACTCGGGCCTGCACACAGAAGGCTGCCCCAAAAACAACCAGCTAAGCACCAAAACCAAAGCGTTCACTCCGAGCTTCACAGGGTCCCTCGGCATGGAGGCCCCAGGCAAGTGGAGCTCCGGGTAGGGCAAAGGCATCGGCCAAGTCCGTGCTCGCTGTCGTCGAGGAGCCTGGGAGGGCCCCCGGTCGTTCCGGGGTAATTCACGGAGGCTGCAAAAGAAAGATTGCAAAGAGCACGTGGAGCCGACAAGCGCGGTAAACCAATCCTCCCACAACCCTGAACCCGAGACCCGAGAAGCACGAGACCCAGGGACGTCCTCGTCACCAGACCGCTGACTCAGAGCCTTAGGGGCAGAAGAAGCGAGGGGAGGCTCGGCGCGCGGAGCCGACGGCAAACTACAGGGATTAGGGGCACTACAACCCGACCTAGAAGACACCAAAGGAGGGGCGCAACAACCCGACCTAGAAGAAGAGGGATTAGGGGCACTACAACCCGAACTAAGAGCAACCCCCGCAGCACGTGTGGAAGCTGAGGATGCAGAGGCGGCTCCACCGCCAGCCTGCAGAGCACAGTCTACAGGGCAAAAGGGGGCACAACAACCCGAACTAGAAGACGGAGGATTAGGGGCACTACAACCCGAACTAGAAGGGGGCTCGGCAAGACGAAGGCCCGAAGAGGGCGCCGCGGCAACTCCGCTGTCCTGCGGAACACAGCCTACAGGGGTCCTAAAGGGACCTAAACCAAAAGAGCCCTTAGGGGTTCGGGGAACGGCAAGGTCGGCAGGCTCCGGCGTCGGCGCCAGAACACAGTCGGCAAAGCGCACCCTCCTAGGGCTAGGGGTCCTACGGGGACCTAAAACCGAAGTGGGATCAGGGAACCCAAGAGATTTGCTGCTCAATTCGATAGGCGACGGCGCCTGAGCACTGAGGGGATCGTCTTGAAGAATCACTTCTCCTTGTCCCCCTTCTTGTCTTTGCCCTTGCCTTTGCCTTCTCTTTGACGGGGACCTTTGTCCTCTGCACCCCCGCCTCCGGAAGGAGGAGTGTTCGGAGCTCCGCCGCCAGCACCGCTGGGCTGCACACCACTCTGCTGCCCAAGGTTCTTGTTCGCTGTGTGGAAAGAGTCTCTCTCTTTGAGGCGGGCCATTAATACGCTCATCCATCGGGAGTCTAAAATCTTTGTCTGCTTCGACTCGTATGTGTCGAGGACGCGGGGGCGCGAAAAGGAGCCGAAAGGCGGCGCCCTCTCGAGGCCGATCTCGCTGGCGATGACCCAGCTGCCATCGATGGCGGCTTGATCCAACGCTGCCACCCCAAGGAGCGCCATGCTCTTCGCTCTTTCGACCTCGCCACTGTTTATGGCGTCGACTATTCCGCCGAGCAACCACGCATTTCTGATGGGACCCGGAAAACTCTGAAGAAGTGAACGATGTTCGATCCATCCCCGGACGGTACAGCGAGCCGCCTCCTGGCCCGGCCCTCCCTGACTCAGAAGGAAGTCCTCGGCGATGAGCTCCTCTATCGATTTCGAAATCTCCTGCGGATTTTTGACCAACATGGTCCGAAGTCGATTGTATGCAGCGGCCTTCGATCGAGAGCCTGAGCTCCCTTGGCCTCCGTCGCCGCCCTCCGCCTTGTCGAGGAGGTCCTCGAGGTTCGCAGCCTTCCTGTCTCGATGAAGGACATCCAGAATCCTGCTCATCTTCACCACCGCCTGCTTCACAGGGTCGCTCGACCCCGCGCCGCCGCCGGGATCCTCCTCCTCGGAAGGCTCGTCGTCGAGTGGGTCGTTGCCCCGGCCCCGGGGCTCCGGAGCCAAGTTCCTCGCATCCTGAGTCAGCTTTGACATCCTCCGCAATTGAGCCTCCGGCACCCCAGCGGCCCTCGCCGCTTCTACAACCGCCGGGTCCAGCCCTGGAAGAGCTGGTCCGACCGCCACCGCACTTCCTCTTGCCGGTAGCTGAGGAGCATGAGGAGCCTCGCTCACTTTCGGCTTCATAGCCGACGGGCGGCCTCGGGTCCGATCGCCCTCGGCCTCGGCTGGCGGAGCTCCTCCATGAGGGAGCCGCTGAAGCAGAGAATCCAGCCCCTGGCGCAGCTCGCCCAGCACAGATTCCACCTTGTCCAGCCTCTCGGGGACAGTCGATCCTGCCACACTCGCCGCAGGCTCCCCCTGAGCCGAGACAAAGGCGAAGTGCTCGCCCGCCACCGCCAACAGAGCGCTTGCCAACGGCACCGCTGGGACCGGCCCCGCCGCCGAAGCCCCTGAGCCAGCAACCACGAAGATCATCTCGGCGCCGGCGTCCTCCGAGCCGATCTGAACCGAATCGTTCAAAGCTGGGTTCAAAAGACCGACCCAAACTTTTACCTTCCATACTGGATGCGGCACGGCGCGGTCGTCGTCCGAAGCCGCACCGACCTCGACAAGGGTAGCTCGAGTCAGAGACTTGGCAGGAAGGTGGCGCCTGGCAACCACTCGGTTCCAAGCCGAGTGGGGCACTGCGACCAACAATGATCCGTCCAATTCGGCTATCCCTATCAGCTGAGAACTCACTTCCTGGCCCTCTCGCTGAGCCCTGATGACACCAATGCAAAAATCCGAACCAACCTCACTAAGGAGACGATGCTGCAAGCCCAGCACTTCAGGCTCCTCAGAAGTCGCTTCCTCGCCCTCACTCTCAGCGGCCATGGCTGCTCAAGTCAGGACAAGGGAGGCCTGCCGCCTCCAAGCACGCTCGCACTTCAGTCTGCGAAGGGAGCCCCACGAAGACCGTATCCGGGAGAGGGTTCGGGCCCCGGAAGCACAGCTCCTTCACCCGGCTGAACACTGTCGTGACAATTGGGGGATTATGGACCTGGCCCTCACGGCTTTTGCAGATAATGTAATACTTGGAGCTCAGACTCAGCTCTTCGCGCCCCGAAGGGCCACGGAATTCACCCTCGAGGCCCCTGCGGATGAAGGAGCCGATCCGGCGTGCCAAAGCGAGCCTGAAGGCTGATGCGGGAGGCCCAGGCGCCTCGGCGCTAGATCCGTCCGCGAATCCGCGCGAGCAAGTGTTGGGGGTGCCCTGCGCACTGGCAGGAGCCGACCTTTGCGGGGTCGCAGGTGCCGAATCACTGACAACAATGAAAGGAGCACTCTCGCGCTCGCGCTCTCCCTCCAAAGCAGCCACCCGAAGTTCCAAGCTCTCAAGCAGGTTCCTAAGGCCTCGGATCTCAAGCCTTAGTGCAGCCAGCTCGGAGCTCATTCAAGGATGCGGTACCACCTCAGCACTGGCCATCCGGCCCGACTGGCTGCCCGAACAAGCAGAAGCCTTGCTAGCAGCACACAGTCCAACACGGGGCCCAAGAGAATTCCACAGGCCAGGCCCAGTCCAAAGGAAGTCCAATGCAAACCCTCGGAGGGCGAAGGGAGGCCAAAGTCCAGAGGAGAGGTGTAGAGAGGAATAGGAGCGGGCTCGGGAGGAACAAGGATCCCCGTATCCGAATCGAAAACCCGCCGAAGGATTTGGAACCCAAGCCCCACAACCCCTCCACTCAATCCCCCTGCCGCAGCGACAGGCAAGGGCCGCATTCGACCCAGAAGCTACGGGTCAATCGCAATACATGCTTTCTCATCTCCGTCAAAAAGGGACGGTGCTCGGGATCCTAATATTGAAGGGTGCTTATCAGTCAAGGAAGCGGGCCGGCGGTATACGGGGCGGCAATCCTACTTGGAGGATCATGGGACTTGGTAAGTGCGGTTATACGTACCTTAATTGGGGGTTATAAGTATTACAACTGTACTTGCGCGCACAAAGAACAAAAACGTGATGCTTTTCGGTGTAGGTGACTCCTTGGAGTGTTGGGGTTCAGGGGCTTAGGGTTTAGGGTCTAGGGGTTTAGGGTTTAGGGGTTTAGGGTTTAGGGTTTACCACAGTAGAAACAAACGATAGTCCACGAGAACATGAAAGAATAAAGATACCACTGGAGACGAAGCTTCTATGGGAGACAAGTCCTTGTCCTCGAAGTACATCAAGACCATGTCGAACCCTCAGTGCAGGCTCTAGAAGTTATGTTTTTTGAAAACATATCATATGCTATAGCTATAACAAGAAACCCTAACGAATAGTATAGGGCTCCAGGAGACAGGATAAGGTTTGGGGGTATCATATGATATAGCTATAACAAGATAACCCTAACGAATAGTATTACGAGATCTTCTCGTTTGTTGAGAGGATTGTAAGGTTTTACACGGTCTTGTGCGAAACACATGAGTTCATTATGGTAACTTTAACACAGCTGTATAAGTTCCCCCAAACGGAGCCCCAAATCCTATATCCTGAATCTTAAGGATTTTGGCAGCTATGGGCTTAGGAAAAAATGGGGCATCTGTTTTTAATTAAAAACAGGCAGCTATGGGCTTAGGAAGTATAGGGCATAGTCCCCTTTGAGGTTAGATACCCAGTAACCTAAGAATAAAGAGGCCTCTCTTTTTGGTATTGGGTAACTTTATAAGGAACCTAGGACTATAAAAAGGGAATAAGGGTACTGCTGGGCATCCTAGCTTAGATTCGAACCCAGGAGCCGATAAAAAGGCTGTATTCCACCCATGTCTTGATGTAGTGGTCCATCCGTTTCCTAGGTTCCCCGGTTTAGGGTTTAGGGCTCAGGGGTGTAGGGTTTATGTTCAAGGTTCCCCCGTAGTCCCTTGATAGTAGTACCCCAGATTCGGTTTTAATTACTAGACCCCAAAACAGAGAAAGATGCTTAGCGACCTGATAGAAATTGGGCTTCCTGTTTGGTATTAAAGGGTATAACTTTATAAGGAAGCTAAGCCTAGGACTACAAAAAGGGAAAAAGGGCCCACTGGGAGACCTAGTTTCGGTTCGTATACCGCTCCAGAGTGCGGATTCGTTCCGGTCCGCAGGGTTCCAGTACAGACGACCGAGCGAATCGGAGTCGGAGAAAGTGGCTCGTGACATACCCGAATCTTTTCCCAACGTCCAAGAATCTTCCCCGAAGCTGTGACCGTGATGTTCATGAGCAGAGGTTTCTGAAGCCTGCCGGCAGCAACATTACCAGCATCGCACTTCGCTATGACTAGTTGGTAGAGATCATCTCCTCGCCCCTTGCTTGTTCGGTCTTGCCAGTTCGAATCTGATGCCGCGTGCAGCAACCGCGAGGGGTCTTCGGGTGAGACCCAAAAGCAGTTCCACGTGACATTTCTGGCAAAGAGGACCTGCTTCTTTCCGACTGTGAACCCCGCACCATCCGGGCGCTTACCTTGCAACATGAAGTGGATATAGGCAAATTGGTTTGAAGGATGCAAGAACGCGTCTGTCAGAATTAGGCCCGCATGGCTTGCCGAATCCTTTGCATCCATAGTATTGTTCCGCTCCATGCGGTAGAGCCTGCCGCTAAAGTCATGCTTGCAGGATGTCAGGTAGTCACGTCGCAGGCTTTCTGGCAGGCGGTTCGTGCTGCTCGCAGTCTCCAAGCTGGCCACACTGGTCACAGCAAACGAAGACGAGCCGCTCGTGCTTGTGAACGTGCTCGCACTGCTCGTGCTGACAGTGCCTATCGTCTCGTTCGTCGCAGTACCTTAACAGTGGAATTCTGAGGACTGCAAGAAACAGACCTCCTTTTTAGGCACTAGCACACACCCAGAAAGAATTTCAGTCCCTTGTCCATTATCTCAACCACCGAGGCACTGGCAGCACTTGGCGATGGATCCGACCAACGTTCTTCAGCATGGGTTTCGCCACGTTTCACGCAGGCGTAGTCGAGGCATCTCCATAGGGCGAAGTAATAGTGCCTTGGATGACTTCTGAACTTACCTTTGGTTAGAAGGGAATGGAAGAACGGTAGTAATAGTAGTTATAATTGTAGCCCATTCCTCCATCCCCTACTAACCAAAAGTAAGTGAACCCCTCCTGAAAGTTTAACTTTTGGCCTCCTGATTATAGTGAAACCCGAAAAGTTAAAGCCCTAAGAGCCAACCAGAAGAACGCCAAGATGCTGCTGTGTAGATGACAGTAAAACCAGCCCCAAGCCGGCAAATCCGACAAGCCGGCACATGGCAGGGTCTAGGAATCATGCCTTATAGGCATGATCTGGCATAGCTCTTGGGTAATATTTAGTTCGTAAATCCCTTATTATAACCCCTAACCCCTAAACCCTAAGCCCTAACCCCGAAACCCTAAACCCCTAAACCCCACACCCTAAACCCCTATGGACGCCCTCAGAATCAGAACAGGCCTTGCGGGTCCTAATTTAGGGTTTAGGGTTTAGGGGAAATGACTATGTCAAACAAAGAAATTGGCTCCCTAAGCCTTAGTTAGGGTTTAGGGTCTAAGGGGGCCTGTCAGCAGTTGTACTGTTAGCTATCCAGGCTGCTATAGCAATCCCTAAACACATCTGCCGCCCTTGGCATGCACCCCCTAAACCCTAAACCCTAAACCGTGCACCCCTTGCAAAACGCGAAAGCAAGACAAAGCACTAGTTCAGACGAAGCATACATACGAGGCCTTAATAGTTTGAGTAGGTTGTGCCTTTTATTTTGTTTTTTTGAGGGTGGGTCGTACTGTACCCAGAGACTCCAAAACCCCTTAATTAAGGAATATACCAAATCCTATTAGGGATCCTTCTATAATTTAAGGAATATTCCTTCATTAAGGGGTTTTGGACGCTCCGGGCATTGTATTGTCAAGCTTGAGCCCGACTTCATGGCATTCTACATTACACGAATGAGCTGGGCTCGGCATGCGACGCATCTCAGCACCACTCATAACCAGAGCCCAATTGTTACCCTAAGCCCTAGACAGCTCACCAATCGTGGAAGCCAAATTCTCTCCCACACCGGAACCAAGCCCTTCTACCTCTATCCCATGGAGCCAGATGTTCAGAGCCAAAACAACATTGAACTATCCTAAACCACTATGGGCTGTTAGACCTTATGGGTGCCTCAATCTACCCTTATTAGGGTCCTAATAGGGATCTTTAGGGTCTAATAGCCCATAGTGGAACTTTACGCACTTCAAACCTGCAAAGAAGAAACAGCAACTAGAACCCTGAAGGAGTTCGGAAACATCCTCACTACGGTTGATGATATAAATCATGCATTACCCACAATAAGGAATATACCATAATTACCATAGTTTAGGGTCCTTAAGGTAATGCAGGATTTATATCATCAACACTATGAGCCAATGATGGATGTTGATGTGATACAGGGTGTTGCCCTCTCGCTAAACTCTGAGCCCCTAAACCCTAAACCCCTAAAACCTAAACGCCTAAAGTCTGAACCCTAGACCCAAAATCCCTAAACCCTACCCCCCTTAACCACCCAAACCCTAGACCCAAGACCCAAACCATAGGTTCGGGAGAAGAGCAGAACCGCTGCAAAGCCCAGACCCTTAAAGCTTCAAAAGCTGTGATACATAAGGTTTTTCAGGCTTAGGGTTTAGGATGGCTTAGTGTTTAGGTGGGTTACTAACCCGAAGGGCCCAAGTAGCCATGTTTACTAGGACTTTAGGTGCCCCAAATCATTCAGGGTCTGGAACCAGGGACCGTGAACTCTACCTTTGCCATTTGGGTACTTGGACCTTCTGGAAAAGTTTAAGGGTAGTACAAGCTTCTGATACGAGTTCCCTAAGACCCAGGTTCCGGAACAGTATCATTACATACTTTACTGTGGCCATAATGCTAATACGGGGATTACTTTAAAGCAAACGTAAAACTAAATGGGTACATGGCTACTTAACTATGAGGTTTAAGGAAGAGCAACCCGCAACACACTGTGTAGATCTGTGTAGGTACCTGGTCTAGGGAGAAAGAAGCCTCTGTGACTGGGCTGAATCAGGGTAGAATCCCAATAGTTGGAAACCCCATAGCCTCTATCCTTAAGAGCAAAGTATAGGGAATCCCAGCACTATTTGGCCTTAATCCGGTTTCCAACTTTATGGGGTTTACTGTAATTCTCGGAAACTCTAGACCCTTATAGAGCCCTTTAAAGGAAACCTTATAGTAACCTAATATTAACCCTTTAAAGGAACCCCAAGGTTTTCCAACTTTTTGGGGTTTACTGTAGGGTGTAAGGTTTGGGGCTTAAGCCGAGCCTCCCTCCACGCGAAACTAGGGCCCCCCAAAAAAGCACATAAGCAAAAAATAGGATAGGGATATCCCATATAAATCCCCTTAAAAAGGAAGCCCAGTAAGGTAGAGATATCCCGGCAGAATGCTTGTGATTATTTGCTTTTTGTTTCGGCTTTTGGTTTACCGCTGAGGGCTTCGAAGCAGGGTTTACGGCAGTATCCCATGAGCCGTCGAAGCCGTGAACTATGTGAAACTTCATACCCAACGCACCCTAAACCCTAAATCCTAAACCCTGCGCCCTAAACACTAAACTAAACCCTAAACCGGCCTAGCCGGTCCGGGGTTCCCTTGTAACAGTGTTGGCATCCTCAACACCAAGTCCTGCGCACCTCACCACGCCGAACGGTGCCGATGGTGCCTTAGAGCTGTGAAACGACTCAGGCTTTGTTTCCTGCGAGGGGGGCGGGTTCTAAACGCTAAGCCCTGAAACCTATATAGCTTTAGTCAGGGCTCAGAATCGAAGCACTCAACGGTCTTGAGCAGACAGATGTTCAAATGGCATCCACTTTTACAATAGGGATAAGGGGTACTACTAACAGTTTACTGTATTTCCCATCCCTAAAACCTACACCATTAATCAAAGGGGAAAAGGAGGGACCCTTAATGGGGACCCCTACCCTATAATGGGCTATATAATGGGTATATAATAGCTATACTAAGGGTATATACCTAGGGGTCCACATTAAGGGTCCCTCCTTTTTCCCTTGGAATGAAGGGATCTTGGCGGGACCGCGGTCCTGATCTGAGAAATGCACGCCTCGGCCGGGGCTTAGACGGCAGAGGTTCCTTTCTTGGAGGTTCATGGGCAATTATAAGTGAGGTTGGATTCTATAATAAGGCTTTAAGGGTCCATTTAAAGGGATCTATAGGGATTCTAGAAGGGTATAGGGTTTAGGATCTACTTGGAGGTTCATGGGTAGTTATAAGTGAGGTTAAAAGTTCCCTAATATGGGTTATAACTAGAGCTACCCTACTTATAACCCCAACCTATAATTACCCATGAACCTCCAAGTTGTCCCTCCGGGATAGGGTTTAGCGTTTTGGGTTTCCAGGTTCTTTCGGGTTCAAGGTTGTGAAATGGGGGATTAGAGCTCTATATTGATTTAGGGGGTTCAGGGTTCCCAGACCTTCCAACAGCCCTTAATCAAGGAATATACCTTAAATAATATCAGGATCCCTAAAATGATTTAAGGTATATTCCTTAATTAAGGGATTTTGGAAAGTCTGGGTTGTTTTCGTCATGCTGATGCAGACCGCCTGCGAAACTGATCGGAACCCTGCCAAAACTTGCAAATTCACACTTGGCCTGAACCAACCCTCAGCCCCAATCCCAAAAACCAAAGCGTCTTTACTTGAACCCCTGGCCCTGAACACTAAATCTTCAACCCTGAGCCCTAAACCCTAAACCCTAAACCGACCGACCTAAACCCGAAGCCACAAACTCTAAACCGTCCTTCGCGGAACCGGAAACAAAGGCCCTCCACACTCATATGGGAGTTTCCGAAAATGCGGGGTACCTTATTCTGGGGGTCCTTGTAATAAGTATCCTACTATTTAGGGTACCACATGAGGGTCCCCTATCTTCGGAAACTCCCATATAAAGGAGAAGGTAAAAAGAGCACTTAAAGAAAACTTTAAAGGAGCCCCTTAAAGCACACTTTCAAGGAGCCTGTAAACAGGAACCCTTAAGCACACTCCCAGAGAGCCCAATACCCCTAAATTAAGGAATATAGCTTATATCTTAATATGAAGCCCTATATAATTAAAGCCATATTCCTTAATTAACGGGTTTTGGGCTCTCTGGGCTTCGAAGGAGTTTCTAGAAGAGCCCTAAACCCAATACAATGCCAGACCAGGCACTGACAAAAGGTGTAAAGCCCGAGGCCACGGAAAGAGGCTCGCGAAGGAGAACGAGCCTAAGGCTCACCACTCTTAAGGCTTAGGGTTTAGAATTTGTGGCTTTAGAGTTGAGGGTTTAGAGGCTTAGGGTCTATAGGGCCTTAGGCTTCAGCGCTTTAGGGCTGAGAGTTTGGAGGTTTAGGGTCTAGGGCTTTAGGGCTTTAGGGCTTGGGGATCGTAGGGTCTTTATCCGTGTTAAGTGTGCCATAGCACCTTTGCAGGGGTTGATGTAAGGGTCTTGTACATAGTTGCTTTTGTAATGAGACCAAAATCTAGATTCAGGTTCAAGCTCAATCATTGGGTGCTGGCCATAAATTATGCAATATCCGAACATCATGTTAAGGATCTCTTTTTAGAGTTTAGGACTTCGGTTCCGGGCTCAAGGCCTACAGCGCTTGGGGGGTTTAAATCTTAGACTACAAACAGTATCGCGTGTGAAGTTACTTGTGACAATAGAACTATACTCTCCAAAGTCCTAACCGTCCTAACCTACATAACTACTATCCTAAAACCAAGTACCTAATTATTGGGTCCTTTGGACCCTTGGGGTTAGTGCCCGGATGCAAAGTGTCTTTCTGATTCTATCCTAGTCGCGAGAAGCAGAACCTAGTTATGATCCTTTTGCGTTCCCTATGAACTTATGAACCCGAACCGGCACCCTTCCGGAACTCTGCACCACCCACACCCCAAACTCCGTTATGACTTATTTACTTACAGTAAGGCATGTCGCCGAGTTATATGATGAAAGAAAGGCTTGGAGCGGGAAGCACAAGGTTTGCAGAAGGTTTAAAAAAGACGCCGCCGCGTGCTTAGTATGTACAGCTGAATAGGGAGTACAGGGAGAAGACTGGCTATTCAGGCCTGTGGGGAACCTGAAAATGCCGTGACCTACGTTTTCGTCTGGTCCAAAGATAAACTGTGTAATCTAGAACCTAAACTGTACAGGGGAAAGTGGATGAGGTGACTCGAGGTAATACAGGCCTTTAAGATTGACATACGATTTTTGTTAAAGAGATTGTGCAATA